ATGTGGAGAAGCTCATGCTAATTTAGCATACTATGCAACTTATCATACTACCTTACAGTTTAAACAAAAAAAATTCCTTCCAGTAGCACCTTAAAGACCAACTAAGTTAGTTCTTGGTATGAGCTTTCGTGTGCATGCACACGAAAGAAGTGTCATGTATCGTGTGCATGCACACGAAAGCTCATACCAAGAACTAACTTAGTTGGTCTTTAAGGTGCTACTGGAAGGAATTTTTTTTGTTTAAACTGTAAGGTAGTATGATAAAGTTGCATAGTATGCTAAATTAGCATGAGCTTCTCCACATGGAGTGTAGCTGCACAGCTTCCAGGTTCTGACTGCTCCAAGCTGAAGGCAAACAACACAGTGCTGCTTATCAGGCACCCAGAAACATTAAAATGTATGACATAAGACTTTTATCATGTAGTGTAATACATTATGTTGTGTCAGCAACATGTAGAAAAACCACACTGTTTGTAGTGGCTTTATGGATGTTGCAAAACAGGGCTGAGGAACCTCCAGATACTGCTGGACTACAACCCCATCATGCCTAACTATTGGCTGGCCTGGCCAGGGAATTGGAGTCCAATAACCTCTGGAGCGCCATAAATTCTCCATCCCTGCTCTAAAATGTAGATCAGACCATACCAAGGCTAAGTAAAGGCTATTTGCGGTAAAAGCATCTTACCTTCAGAAACCTGCCAATGCTGTGATTTGCATTCCTTGTTTCTTCAAGAGCATCCCTGTGTTTCCAAACAACATGATCTGAAATCACCATGATGAGCGTATCCAGCTCATTTTGGAATGATTCTGGAAATCTCTGAGTGCGAGGCATCTGAACAGACAGCAGATGACGTTTTTAGAATATAAGTTTAAGCCTGTCACCACTCAAAGTTCCCCTGTGGTTCTCTCCAGCCCACAAAACCCAACAACCCAAGCTGCAACTTTCAAAGCTATAGAGCGCTCTATAGGAGAATTTGATGGTATTACTCATGAATGGCTTGTTAGATAGAGTGGCCCGCCTATGAAGCCAGCTGATACAACTGCTTCAGGTGGCAGGATCTCAATGTAGATCTTATGTAGGTTCAGAACCATGTATTGGAAGGGAGGAAGAGGTAATTATATCAGTTTTGCATAGGAACCTACTTATGGTAAGACAAACCATTGATCCATCTAACTTGGTATTGTCTATTTGACTGAGCAGCAGCTCTCCAATCAAAGAAAAGGGAGGGGGGTCCTCCAGAAGGATGGTTTCATCTGTGAACCTCCCAATTTTGTTCAACTACTAGCTATTGATTGTAACAATTAAAAATGATTTTATTTGAGCTCCTATAAGTCCTACCAGCATGGCTAACTGTGAGGGATTGTGGATGTTGTAGTACATCTGGAAGTCCCACCCATGCTCCAAAATTACATTTGATGCGCCATGAGAGCACAAAAATGTACAATGCTACCTTATATTGAGTCAGACCATCTAATCAACACTGTCTACACTGATTAGCAGAAGCTCTCTCTGAGATCTCAGGCAGAGGTCTCTCTTAAGAGGTCACTCTAAAGTGGTGATACTGGGGATTAAACTGGAACCTCCAGCATACAGAGTGCATACACTACCACTGAGTTTATTGCCCTTCCAGTACCCAGAGCGCAGCCATTATATTATTAATTTGTGAGAAGTGACAGTCTATGCACTAGCTCACACATCTTTAGATCCTGGCAAATGCTACTTTTTAAGGGGGAGGGAGGGAAGGAAGGGGATATTAATGGGTTTTTGTTTTTTTACTTAGCTTATTTCTGGGAGGGAAAACTATGCTTAAGAAAGTGTTTACCTGACAGCCTAATGAAATATAATTGGGACTGTGGAGTAATCACAGCCTTGGCTTTGCCAGACGGAACAAGATAAGGATTATGTCATGCACACTCTGTGCAATTATCTCTCTGAAACAGCAGATGAGTCGCTGTTGCCTCATTTCTCTGCCAGATACACATTTGATTCTGCTGAATGTTTGTCTGTGAGCCGAGCTACGCATTTTCTTAGCTGCATACCTCTACCTTTAACTCCATGGTTTGAATAGAGGTGTTTAATACAAATTATCTTCAGGTGTGTGTGTGTGTGTGTGTGTGTGTGTGTGCGAGTGAGTGAGTGAGAGAGACAATGGGCATATGCCAAAGTATCTTTTAATGCTCAGGGATGTTTTTGTTCAAGTAAGGTATTTTAAATGTGTGTCTGTGTAAAGATTGATATCTGCTTATTCATAATGGAGAGCAGCACACAGTCTTACCTGTATTCTCTTTGTATCCACCAAATGCTGAGCCATTGATTTTAAGATAATTGCGAAAAAGAACCAGGAGTGCTATTAAAATTGGAAAAAAGAGAGAGCAGTAAGTTATCACAATGACAGCAATGCTCATTTCTTTGTTTTCCTTGTTCACCCTTACTTTATAGTTTCCTTCCTAAAATCAGAATGATCTCTGTAATTTAGGTGAGGCACGAAGAAAAGTTTTACAAACAAACAAACAAACAAACAAACAAACAAATTTGGAGTTTCAATGGTCCAAATATTCCACATATTGCCATCTTGTTTCTAGAAGCTGCTGGCAAGATCGTGAACACTATGAGAAAACTGACTTGCTCTTCTATAATCAGGGATCTAATTTAATTCCCAGTTTGTATATGTGTGAATACAGAAGGAATGTACTATAATTTCATTAAAAACAACAACCCACTAATAAGTTAATAGTTGTCCATAGAGCATATAGCACTCATTCAATTAATAACCAAAACTGAATGATCAACTTGGTGTGAACTTTCAGACTTCAGGGTGATTTCTAGATTAGAGTAGGGCAACAACGGAATCTAATGGGTGCCTTGCACTTGTAAAATATGTTGTGCAAACCCTAGTACAACTGTTCCTATTACTAGGTGACAGTTAAGCTTGTGCACTACAGCTTGTGCAATGTAACTCTCAAACTTCATGTGCAAATGCCACGTTGGATCTCATCCCATATCTCCATGCACTTTAAATGCTGACACCCCAGTCAAGAATCCCATATGAACTTCTATGGGCACCCAGTTGGGAAGATCTGTTTATGCAAACGGCTCTGTTCACTTCAGTGGAATGGATAACCCAACAAACACAAATGAAGTGAAGCACTCTCTGGTGTATGAAGCAGTAAAAAGCCAACGACACACAAAAAAGGAGCATGAAGAAAATGGTAAATCTATGCAAATCTTTCTAGAACTTGTAGCTTTGGAAAAGGAGAAAGATTTACCTTTAAAACATGTTTCACTGTTCTTTGCTCATTTGACTTCAACAGACCGGTCATATTCTTGGCCAGCTCCTCGTGAACTGTTCTTTCTTCAAATGACTTGGTCTTGAATACATACTAAATATATATATAATAAAATAATAATAAAAACATCATCCACATACACAGAATAATAGTTGGCAGTGAGAAGGCTGGTCTCCCAAGACTCAGTGTAACATTCCTATTTGTTTGAAATGATTGCCATCTGACAGAAATAACAGAAGAGACACAGTGGTCTTTATATTTAAATCAGAATTTATTGCACTGATTTCTCATTTCTGCTTTCTCAAGCAGAATGAAAGGAAGAAGCGTATCAATTCAGAGTCCTCAGGTTCAGGAGGAGTTGTGTGCTTTCTAGATACAGTGGTACCTTGGTTTACGAACTTAATCCGTTCCAGAAGTCCGTTCTTAAGCCAAAACCATTCTTAAACCAAGGCGTGCTTTCCCTAATGAGGCCTCCCGCCACCGGTGCCCTTCCACCATTCGGATTTCGTTCTTAGACCAAGGTAAAGTTCTCAAACTGGGACACTACTTCCAGTTTTGCAGAGTTTATAAATCGAATCGTTCTTAAACCAGACTGTTCTTAAACCGAGGTACCACTGTACATAAATAAATGCAGGAATAGGAATTATGTATGAATGCTTGAGGCCATGGCGATAATCAGAATCTCCATATCTTTTTGTTTATCAAACTGCAGAAATCCTGAATTGCTGTTCATTGCATAAGCACTTCGGGCTGAAGAGCTGGAAGTTTCTTTTGAGACAGGAAAGCACTCAACACTGTTTTTCCTTAAGTCCTTTTACCTTTGGCATTGGAAATACTGCTTTTATGTACTGAGCTACGTGCAATGTGGGGTTTCGGATCATGTATTTCCCAACATCATTTTCTAAAAGCAATTCTCTCTGTGTGTATGTAGATTTGGAGCTGTGAGGGATCTTAACTGCTTCCCTCCAGGGCAAGTCCCCAATGCAAATTGCCTCCCACTGCTCAATGAAGATAAAATTGTGTGGGTACTCTGTGACTAAAAGTGGCTTCATGAGGACTTCTTGTCTCTTGCAACTGGAGTAGGGAGGTTTCCAAAAAGTACCAAGATTAAGGTTTGGCACTGCTCAGAGTAATCTAAATACAGTTGATTAATTCATCGAATAACCATTACTGTACAAATATAATGAATCACTAAATATTGTCCAGCTATTTAAGAGTTTTTAATGCAAATACATATAATGTTGGTGTCTGGGCTATGATGTAATTAAAAAGAAGTGAAATCCTTCACAAGTCTGCTCAGCAGTAAGTCTTGCTGAGTTTAATGCGGATTACTCTCAGGTATAGCTGAATTTGGAAGAAAGGTCCTTTGAACTCAGTGGGTTTCCTTCCTGGGTAGACATGTACAGGATTGTACTGTGAATATGGATGCATACACACTATATATTTACAACACATTCAAAGCACATTCTTTCCTTCAAAGAATTCTGGTCACTGTAACTTACCCATCACAGAGTTAGAATTCCTAGCAACAAACTACAATGCCCATAATTATTTGAGTGGGGAGGGAATGTGCTTTGATTGTACCTCAGAGGAATAGTGTATATGCAGCACCTACTCTGGAAATTTTTGGTTTCATTAACTGATCCGCTGCTCTTTGCTTTCCAAATCATGAAAACACTGGACCCTGCACCAAAGTGTGGGCAGAGCCAACCCTTGAAGTACGGTAAATGTTATGGCAGTTTTGTAAAACAAAGAAAGAAACAAAACTCATTTTACAGGCCAATCATTATCTACTAACAAATGAGTAGAAGAATGGTCCACATTCCTATTTTACTGACAACTTTGGTATAAGAATCATTACTGCTTGATTCACACTCTTTTCCCCCCTAAAGGTTGACACGACTTTTAAGTTTACTCACAGAAGCCAAGTCTTCTGATAATGGTGAATAGCAACACCTTCAAAACATGCCTTTTGAAATAGGCAATTAAATGTTGAACACATACATTTAAATATTAAAGCATCAATCCTGGCAGCACAAAATCATCAACAGATGCAATTAGCTTGTACATGCACCATTCTTTAGCAATAAACTCTCCTTACTGGCCAATCTGGAAATGTATGGAATGTAGTAACTCACACATTTAATGTTTTTTCTGAAATATGGGACGAAGGGGCAAACCAGCCATTCAACCAATGCTGCTCTGAGCATATTAAGTCAGAGAATACTTTTAGCAACAACTAATTAAACACTTACACATTCCTCAGTCATTTACACCTGAAGAATACACTACATCTAAGCTTTGCACCACTGTCACTCCAGGCATAATTTGGCTAATGAAATGTGACTTGTACAAGGAATTATGTACTGTGTATGTGAAACAGCATTAAGCTTAACTGATCTTGAAATTGTTCCCTAATAAACCTTTCATCACACACTCTTCTTAGGCTGGAACTTGATGCTATAGGAGATGCAAGGCTACAGTCTGAAAGAACAGAGTCCTATAGCAATTATGTGAAATCTTTGACCCTTCAAATATTGCTGAACTACAACACCCATCATCCCTGACCATTGGTGACACTTGCTGGGGCTGATGTAAGTTGTAGTTCAGCACTATCTGGAGGGCCAAAGTTCCCACACACCTGGCCTATAGCATCTCTTTCTTTCCTGATTTATATAGGGATAATGCATATTATGATATTGTCATGCAGAACAATGGCATCATGCTTTGTGATGAATATCTGAAGAAGGGGAAAGGGGAATAATTCATCTGCAGCGGATGCTGACCTGCTGCCAAAGTCCAAATCATAGAACAGCAGCAGCAGCGACAACAATTATTTGTAAACACTTCTGAGTGTTGAAAAAACTTCACATACATTGGCTGCATTTGCACATTATGGTAAATATAAAGCATGGCTTATCATATACGAGTGTGATCGTTTCATTCTTCCCCTCTTCTCCCACAATCCTTGGCTTGGCATTGCATCCAAACCAGGTATTGTGATTTCTTTCACTCCAGCAAATCACAAGTAAGCCAGGAGCAAACCTTGGATATAGATCATGGTTTGTTGGGGGTGAAACAAACCATGATCTCTGGTATGGCCATGATGCTAGCCAAGGGCTGTGGCTTGTTTCCTCCTTTTGTGAGTGGGGTTCATCATGACATATGAACTGGGCTGCTATCTTGTTTGAATCCTTACAACAACACTGTGAGGTGTATTAATATCCCTATGCAGCAGCTGGAGAATTTAGACTGAGAGGGAGGGAGTAGCTTGTTAAAGGCCACATAGTGATTTCATGTCAGAGGTAAAATTCAAGGTGCCTGATTCACAGCTCATTCTCTTAGCTACAACTGCAGAATAGCCCTTGACATTCTTCAGAATGTTTGTTAATTATGGGGTTGCTTCTTTCTCTTGCAAGGTAGTTTTTCTATCCATTGCCCAATTTTTTTCCTACCCAGTGCTAGATTAAATCCCGTGGAAGCCCCAGGGCCCCTAGGCAGTCAAAATCTCTCCCCTCACCTATGTGCATGCTCTAGTGGGATAACATGGAAATAAGAAAGCTTGATTGTAATGTTCTTTCAAGATCAAGTCAATATTATTTTGATCCATTGTTGTGGGGCCCCTAAAAGGCTTGGGGCCTATAGCCCAGTGCCTTCTCTGCCTATTTGATAATCTGGCACTGTTTCTAGCAATAAATTATTAAACCCTTGCTAAAAAACAACAAGCATACAGAATGAATACTAGTTTATTCCATTTGCCAAAATATTCACATAACCCACACTTGTATGCTGTATCCAATTACAATTTGAACATAAGAAAGGTGTTTAATTTCCTTTATCACACTCACTTTATTATTTTGCTCATCATAGGTGTAAGCTTTCTTTATGCCAAAGTTCAGCAGTGTAATACTCAGAGAACCAAATGAAAAAAGTGTTTCTTGTTTTGTTCTCACAAAAATGTATAACTACTGTAGATTCAATTTATTTTTTGTTATGCCTCTTCTAGGCACAAAGTCAAGCAGTAAAGGATTTATATCCCAACACTTAATGTTTCTGATGGCATATCTGCCTGAGATAACTGCAAATCTTCATGATCTGTGACAATATATGGATGCAGAACTCAGTAAATCTCACCCTAATACAGACATGGACTGAAAACCGTAATTCTTAGCTTTAGGCCATTGCTGTCTTAAAGTGCTTCAACTACTGTATACTCATATCCTAATAGCAAGGACGAATACATTCACTTTTTGTTTCAAGGATGAACTGCATGGATGAAATAGCTATCACATATCAAACACCACAGTTAGACCTTTCATATCACCTCAAACACAATGCTTTACAATGGAAGCAGTTCACACATTCCCTTTAAAAACATTCGGTGGAAAGTCACTGAGCAATGATTCTGAAGCTATGTACATGCACATGTGAATCAGACCTAAATTCACTAGTTTATTCTTTTAACAAAATTTATGTACCACTTATTCTCTAGAAATCCTCTAAGTGGCTGGACTAATATGGTGTAACTCCAAGCCAGAGGTGAAGGCTGGCACCAACTGCTCTCTAAATTTTCTTATTCCTTTGTTCACTGAAACACAGAATTTTCTAAACTTCTGCTTTTGAACTAGTTTGTATGAGGCTTGCCAGTGTCTGTGAGCTGATTCACACTATTTATTTTTTTCTTACTTCAAGGAATTTTTGTTGTGATAAGTGCACAGCAGACATTCTCATATGGAAACATTTCATGTGAATCTGTTCAATATGATCCTGTTCAGTCCTTTCTAACCTGGTGCCTCCAGATGATATGGATTTGAACTCCATTCAGCCCCAGGCTTCAAAGCCATGCTGGCTGGGTTTCAGAGGAGATGTAGTCCAAAACATATGCAGGGATCCTGGTTGGAGTAAGCCGTTCTAGGTCTTTGCCATCCCTCCAAGAGACTGCAAAGTCAGATTTGTCTGGAGATGGGCATGTCGGCAGGCAACAGTTGAAACTTATTTGTAAATCAAGCTGTTATTTCTTATTGCTACTGGAGAAGATCACATGGTTCATTATTATCTATTGAGCTGCAGTTCTGTATTGTAAAGGTAAAGGGCCCCTGGATGATTAGTTCCAGTGAAAGGCGACTATGGGGTTGCGGCACTCATCCTGCTTTCAGGTCAAGGGAGCCGGTGTTTGTCCGCAGACAGACTTCCGGGTCATGTGGCCAGCATGACTTAAACCGCTTCTGGTGCAACATAACACCGTGACAGAAACCAGAGTGCACGGAAATGCCGTTTACCTTCCTGCCGCAGCAGTACCTATTTATCTACTTGCACTGGTGTGTTTTTGAACTGCTAGGTTGGCAGGAGCTGGGACAGAGGAATGGGAGCTTACCCCATCATGGGGATTTGAACTGCTGACATTCTGATTGGCAAGCCCAAGGGGCTCAGTGGTTTAGACCACAGTGCCACCCGCGTCCCTGTATTGTAAGCAGCACATAAAGTGGTACATCTCAATTCAGAAATCCATAAACTGGAAGATATGCTACAGATCTAGGAACTGCATATAACTCTGTGGATGCCAGGCAGTCCGTGTAACCCGCCCAGGAGGTGTGTGGCAACATTCATACCACAAAAGCTACCACAGACGTATCAAAATTTTCAAAAGTGGGGGGGTCCGTGGATTGGCTTTTGAAAAAATAGGGTGTTTGCAGTACTTAGCTAATTGGGAACCACTTAGCTGCCTGGACTCCTATGCACATGTCTGATGATGTATGATTTCTATCTGCCCCAAGGGTGGTATTGGTAAAAATACTGCATGTAATGTACTGAATGTGCATAGAGCTCTATGTATGTACATGCAAAAAAGTATCACTTCCCCATCCACCAAAGATGCATCAGCTGGGGGATATTCTTTCTCCTTTCAGGAAGTTAGTCTAATCAAGGTCTGCAGCAGGGACTTCTAAGTGGTTGCACTGAATTTATGTACACAAGGATATGCTTTTAAGGTACCGTACTTGGTGCCAGCTTCCTAAATATCCCGGCAGGTTCAATGGCAGTTTTGAGTGAGAAGTGAATGGAGAAGGGGCATAACAAGCAGTGAAGACTCACAATAATGTGCAAAGAATCATGCTGGAAGTTTAAAAATATTTAACATACCATAAGCAGGTACAAAAGCACTGTAATTTGGACAAATAAAAAAAAAGTTTCTTAAGAAAATAATGGAAAAAAATCAGGAAATATTACGGCACAAGCAATTTCAAAGCACACAGAAAAGCATCGTTATTAAAATTGACCACCGAAGCCAATTTGACCATTTGTCAATTCCTTGTAAGAGGAGCAATTGATGAAATCACCACAGTTATCTAATAAAGGAAGATAACACACCTCTTACAACAACATAAAATGCTACTTGCCATCAGAGATGAAACCTGAGATAGGTATGTAATGTAACAGAGATGATCAAAAAGTGAGTTAAATGCTCTTACCTTTACGTATGTTTGGATACAGTGGTCTAATTGTTCTTCATGGAACTTGGCAACAATATCAGTAAGCACCCTGTAAAGTTAAATTATTGAATGATCATGAAGATACACCTTTCCCCTTGGAATTGTTTGACATTCAACATGGAACACAAGAAAATTCAATTAATTAAGGCAGAGGTTTTCAACCTTTTTGAGTCCATGACTCCCTTAACAACTACATTCTTTCTGTGGGGCTCAGGAGCCCAGTTATGTCACCCCTTGCCTGCAGAGCTGGCTGCCTCTTGCCCTTTTTCAAACACCCTTTTCTTGTGGAGTGTTCCCTCAGCCTCCTCTCCTCTCTTCTTGGGAGTCCTCAGGGCAGAGGAGGGAGGGAGGAAGGAAGGAAGGAAGGAAAGAAAGAAAGAAAGAAAGAAAGAAAGAAAGAAAGAAAGAAAGAGGGACAGAGGCCAGCGTTGCCCATGGCAACCCCTGACCATCATTCAAGGAACACCAGGGTGCCATGCATAGCTGTCAACCTTCCCCTTTTTTGCAGGAAATTCCCTTATTCCAGTGCCATTTCCCACTGCTTCCAGCTGCTATCCCGGATTGTTAGATATCCCGTAGACTGTCCCTGGGACAGGTGAGGCTGCTGATCCCTTATTTTCGAGGCTGCTGATCCCTTATTTTCAAATCTGAAAGTTGACAGCTATGGCACTGCCATGGCACACCAGTTGAAAACCACTGAATTAAGGGGTTGTTTTTTTCTGAACCTAAGGAGCTCTCCAAACTTGTTTTAGCTTGCAAAACAACATTTTATTATTTTTTTAAAAATGCACATGTGTGGAGCTAGAACTGGTTAACTCGGGTTCTAGAAGCCAACAGCTGACATAGGAGATTCTAGGGGCTTGCATTGCTACCTGCTTTGGGAGCACTGCCTGCACAGGATAACTTCAGGATAAATGCTTTGCTCCCATATTTGCTTTTTAATGTTTTATTTTTTGTCAGCAGACCAGTGGTCTGACTGCATATAAGGCAGCTTCCTACCTTCAAAGCCTATAAAAATTCTAATACAGAGATTTTAATAAAGGTATCATAAAACTCCAGTGCTGTTCTGCCTATGAAATTCAGGCAGTTAGTTCAGGAACGGAAGAAGAAAAATCCAGCATTTTTCATTGAATTAAAAATGGAAACACTACTTTCTACAAAAATTCATTCTGGACTTCACAATCTACTCTGGAGTTTGGACATAATGAAATGGACCCAACCTTACATATATCAAAAACATATTGGATTATTTAGCAAAGTTGTGGCCTCTGTGAAGTCAGCTGCAAAACTCTGCTTGGCGATTTTAGTAAAATTGAGCCATTCCAAAGGCAAAAATAAATACACAGATAATCAAGAGATGTGTCATGCGGAAAGTGCATTCTAAATACAGCATTAGTTATTCTGCCCATCCCTTCCCATAAATGTGACCTCTTTGGTGTAGATGACAGGATCACAGAAAATTGCCTCTTCCCCTCCCCAAAAAACTGCATATACAGATGTTTTCAAACATGAATGCCATTTTTAAAGTTAAGACAGCATTCCCAATTTCAGTGTAGGTGACTAGAGGTTTGTGCTGGCACCTGCGGGAGACATAGAGAAGGTCCCAGATTCTACCCAGAATCTCCAAGTACAGCTGGAAGAGACCTCCACCTGAGAGTCACTGCCAGTTAGTTTGGACAGTACAGGACTGAGCGAGAGGAACTAAGTCAACTTCCTATGTTCCCCAGTACACACGGCAAACATGAAACGAAAAACAATGGAAAATAAACCTGGTCACAGCAGTTGTAATCTCATCCTCCTTATTCTGTACAAGTACCCAGAAGAGCTGGTTCAGAATCACAGGCAGAAAATTCACGATGACATGGATCCTCTCAATTTTAGCAAATTCTGATTAAGAAAAAAAAATACATGTGAAGACAGGCAGATTCTCTGCTGCTTTGTGACAACTGCACATTAATGCAATTTCATCAGAGTAGAGTTATATTTTGCTGTAGAAACAGTTTGTACCCAAAATCACCTATGATTTAAACTGTGTTTTAAATAGTATGCAAAGATAGAGCCAGAGCAGTATAGCTGTTCAGGTGTTGAACATGGAGCAGGGAGATGTGGTTTGGATTTATGCACGTCCAATGGAGCTGCCTGGTGCCACTGATCTGATAACACTTTCTCAACTTAACCAGCTTTAGGTGTCTATTTCTGAAATCTTCTATCCTTGCATGGTTAGCCAACAATGACAGAGTTAAGAAAGGATAAAATACAGTGGACCCCAGTGTATGCCATTGTGAGCTTCTTGACAAAGGGAAGTGTGAAAAATAAATTAATATCAAGATTAATGGAGAATTTTCTCTGCAATAGCTTGCTGTTTTCTAAACTTAAGGCAGTCTTCACCAACCTGCTGCCCTTTCAGAGGTTTTGGACTACCAACTCCCATCAGCTCCAGGCAGTACATGCTGGCTGGGGCTGATGGGAGTTGTAGTCCAAAACCTCTGAAAGGCTGTACATTGGCGAAGGCTGCCTTACGAAAGCTCAAGAGAAGCCTTAGTGCCAGCAAATTGCTAAAGACTGAGCTGTGGAAAATTGACCACAAAGGGAGGGGTGTAGTTAATGACCACATTTCCTCATCCTGTTACTCCTCTATATGTTGCAGCTGTTTGAATGAGGAAAACCCCCAAAAGAATGACATAATGCTTCAGATTTAGCTTTTAAAGTGGCTAAATTTAATTTTGGGTAATGCTCTTGGAATGAAAACGTGCAAATGGCTGTTCCAAGAGCATCACGGATCACAAACTGCAATATGCACATTTACCTCATGACAAAAGTGACATCAGAAATAGTGATGGACAACGAGTTATGAGCTACTTTTAAAGGGGTAATTTGATCATCTGTAAATAAGACAATTATTGTTCAAAAAAACAGTGAACCTAAACTTGGTGTCCTAGGACAAGCTGCAGTGATTCCTCCAACTTTCATGACTTTAAAAGGGGATTATACACATTCAGGGAGAATAAAAGAATGCCTGGTCACAATAAATGACATCAAAACTCTCAGTGATGGCTATATACTAAGCCCACCCCCTGATCAGAGTCATCATGCCTGAATACCAGTTGCTGGGGAACATGAACAGGAGATAGCTATTTCACTCATATCCTGCCTGTGTGCTTCCCAAACACATCTGGCCACTCACTGTGGGAACAGAAGGCTAGACTAGATGAGTCTCTGGTCAGATGTGTTTGTGCTCCTCTTATGGTATTAGGCACGCAGTGCTGTACATGGGGCACTGCTGATCTCCTGGCTTCCAAACATAGCGTGTCGCTAGCTCTCATTGGAGAAAGAAGGTGAGGGGTGAAGCAAGGGAGTTCAGGGTTGTGTGGCACAACAGAGCCAATCAGATGCTCTTGCGATTACATTCCCAAACAGCTCTGAAGCTCCCCACGCCTTATCCCCTCTCTGGTAAGCACCAGCAATATGCTGCTACAGCAGGCCGCTACTGGTCTCAGGACATAGGGATGGTCTTATGGCGTTCTACCACCTATGGCACTCACATAATGAATGGGAAGGACAGTAAACAGCAACACACAAGGTCATACAGTTCCTGGGAGTCAAATAACGAAAGCAAACGTTGTGTACCCTGGAGTTTTCTTGAATGCTCCAGAACAACCTTGTAAATAGCCACTTGCCTGATCACCAGTGGTAAATAAAAATTACATCAGTGTGACCAGGCAAGATGATTTTTATTTTTTCCATTTGGGAGAGAGTAGCATAAGTTCCTATTTTTTAAGCAGCCCATGCTGTGAATGGTGAACTTAGGTGGGCAGGTATTAAACATTTGCCATGGGCCTGTAACTTTTGGGGTAAACCTTTTTTGTGTGTGGAGGGGGAGCAATCAGTGTCATTTGCAAAGCTGCTTTGGAGCTATTCAGCAACATGCCATCCATTATTGTGAATATGTGTGCATTTCTAAAACTGATACAATGGGAAAATGACTGTGTATCTGAAGAAGTGTGCATGCACACGAAAGCTCATACCAAGAACTAACTTAGTTGGTCTTTAAGGTGCTACTGGAAGGAATTTTTTTTGTTTTGACTATGGCAGACCAACACGGCTACCTATCTGTAACTGATACAATGGGAGTTATTCAAAAGGCAAAGTCAAAACGTAGCATTACTTAGTGGTAATCTCACCTTTATCAGTACTATCAAATGCATCATTATCATTAACACTGCCATTATCATTTATCATCTTACCTTACAGGAGATGATAAAGTTTGAGGTAGGTGGTTGGGAGAGATCCCTGTTCCTTTTTTGGCACTGCTGGAAAAATCTATTCAGATATGGATCCTAAAAGCAGCAAAATACATTATTTACTTATTTATACCCACATCATGTACACATTGTATCCTGCTCTTCCTCCAATAGAAGCAGAGGGAAATACAACCATATACGAACAAGAAACAAAACAGCAGTACAAATCCATCATTAAAAACATATCAAATTCCATCAAACAATTTCAGCAGCAGCAGAATACAACACCAAAACTACCGACACTCAGTCTATTTCAAAGTGATACACAAAATGACAGTGAAGTGTCAGAAATACTGACTTGCATTCTTATAAGCAGAAGTGTAATGGCAAGCAATGAAACAATGAAAAATTAGCCTGATACAGTTAACTTCTGCACCACTCCTTTATATATGTTTTTCATGTTTTATTCAGCGTTGATCAGATCTGTTGCAGTGTCAGTAGTGTCACTGACTTCTTAGAAAAGAAGATTGTATTTTCACTAATACTTGTACCCTCCCCCTTTCTGCAAAAGATTAATTAGTCTGTTTTCTTTAGCTATTTACTGTGCAAAATCTTACCCCATGGGTCTGTGCTGCTGGAGGAATGTGAAAGAGGTCCCCCACCTCCTGCTGTTGTCCACCAGAGGCCCCCACTGTCATCATGGAAAGCTTGATAGATCGAACGCGACTGCTGGTGGCAGCCAGCACAGAGCCCCAGAATAGGATAAAGCAGAGTACAGCCAACCATAAATCTCCACATCCTAAGCCCATCCTTTCTCCTGAAAGGGGCTTGATCTGGGCTTCTCTCACACACAAAAATGAAGGCAGCCTTTCCCCCTACCTGCCCTGACCCAGCATGAGCTACCAGGGCTTCAGATGTGGTGGCCGATCTGTTGCTCTGCTGCTGCCAACCATAGCTCAGGACTGCTGTGAAATTTTTGTTTTGACAGTCTTTGTATACAGGGGTACCTTGGTTTATGAACTTAATCCATTCCAGAAGTCCCTTCTTAAACCAAAGTGTTCTTAAACCAAGGTGTGCTTTCCCATAGCAGCGGGGGACTCAATTTACAAATGGAACACACTCAACAGGAAGCGGAACATGTTCGGCTTCCAAGGCAAAGTTCACAAACCAAAACACCTACTTCTGGGTTGGTAGCGTTCTTAATCCAAGTTGTTCATAAACTAAGCTGTTCTTAAACCAAGGTACCACTGTAATTCCTTGAGGAAGTGAGTACAGAATATTCATATTAAACAATTTATTACAGACTAAACTAAATAGTCTATCTTTGTCCTTTGGTGATCACAAGTAGCTGAGTAAGATTTGCCTTCCATGAAAACGGTCTTAACAACGAGTCCGTAAGTGACTGTGGAGGCCAATTCTGGATCCACATGTCCTTCCACAGTAGGGACATAGGTTTCTGCATGGGAGTTGATCAGGGTGAGGGTTTGCCAAATGTGAGTTCCTCTTAGTTCGATTCTCCTTTTCGCCCTGAGTTCGTGCTTCTACAAAGTCCATTACACCTTTGGTGAAGGCTGTTCTCCAGTTGGAGCGCTTGCAAGCCAGTGTTTCCCAGTTATCAGTGCTTATACTACATTTTTATAGTTTTTAGATTTTTTTGATTTGCCTGTCTATACATTCATATTTAATACTGCATCTGTAAAGTGAAAACCATGCTGACCCTACTGAAATGTTAAGGAGAAATTCTACATGCAGCCTTTGTATTCAGCCTTTCACACACACTACCTTTCACCAAGATAATTTTTTGTAAAGGTGCTCACCTGAGTATAAACTGTCGATACAACCAACGAAGACACTTTGAAGAGTGGCTTCCCTCCATCTACCCACTTCACGTCACTTCCGCTGTGCTGCAAACAATACAAACAGCACGTATTTCTATTTAATTCCTTAATTTGTAACACTAGATTTGTAACACTTGCTAAAACATGGTGCAGGATCGTTCCAAGGGGGAAAATGGAGGATGCCATTAAACAGCCGAACATTCAGCCTTTCAGAACCTCAGCCTTCTGTTGGATCCATTCAGAGGTCCCATTTTCAGAATGGAGATACTTCCCTGTAGTGAGTTCTGCAGCTGTTGTGGTAAGTGTATGAATACTGGAAACACATGGGCAGGACTAACCATATTTGTCTAAATTTATAAAAATCACCATGTCTAAATTTATAAAATGAAATACTGAGTCAAACTCCTCCTGTCACTGGAAATGTAAAATTCTGTGCACATGTCCAATTTAGGCAACAACAACAACAACAATTTATTTATACCCCGCCCATCTGGCTGGGTTTCCCCAGCCACTCTGGGTGGCTTCCAACAGAATATTAAAATACAATAGTCTATTAAACATTAAAGGCTTCCCTAAACAGGACTGCCTTCAGATGTCTTCTAAAAGTCTGGTAGTTGTTTTTATCTTTTACATCTGGTGGGAGGGCGTTCCACAGGGCGGGTGCCACTGCCGAGAAGGCCCTCTGCCTGGTTCCCTGTAACTTGGCTTCTCGCAGGGAGGGAACCGCCAGAAGGCCCTCGGCACTGGTACCCCCCCCCCCGAACAGTGTTATCAAAAGCAAGAGTAGCCAACCTGGCACCAACTGCACTACGCATTTAAAGCAGTACCATGCCATTTTAAACAGGCTTGACTTTCTCCAAAGAATCCTGGGAACTGTAGTTTGTTAAGGGTACTGAGAGTTGTTAGGAGACTCTTATTCCCTTCACCGAGCTACAGTTTCTGAGTGGTTTAACAGTCAATTCCTTTTCCCTCTGTGATGGTAAAAGGGGTCTCGTAGTAACTCTCTTTGGGGGAAGCCATGACTATTTAAAGTGATAAGATGCTGATTTAAATGCAAAGTGCAGATGAGGCCTAAACGTTGTTGGATTCCAGCACAATGTCCACTACCCCTAATCCCAAAGTCATGTCGCCGCATATTTTATAGACTACCCAGAACCAGAAAATGCTGCACCTATTTGTAGGTGTCCAGAACAGAAGTAGCTGCTCAGTATGTGATTCCAGACATGTATGGGATTATAACCAACAACCATGTGTCTTAATACGAAGGGCATATTTACACTGTACTTCACTGTGTCAGCTCTACAGCAAGTGCAGCATAGAAGAAAATTCTCTCACGTAATCCACACTGCATGCAAAATGTACCAGGTGAAGCAATGTGTGCATACACAATTATCTACCAGAGCTGGCCACCACAGAAAAAGGATGTGGTTGTATGAGGTGATTCTCTCTCTCTCTCTCTCTCTCTCTCTCTCTCTCTCTCACACACACACACACACACACACACACACACTGTACACATGAGGCAATGTGTGTCTGTGAGGTTGAGGTTTACTTCTGTAACCTATCATATGTAGAAAGTGAACCCCTCTTTCGCCTTCATTTCAGTAAGGCAGTGTCAGACGCCAAGGATAATAAAACTGCACAAATACTATAAAGATTTCAAATTGCAAGATTCACAGACACTTTTCTTTTTGCAGGAGAGACACAAAACTCAAATGCTACACAATACCTTTCCAGCTGCAGGATCCTGAAGGCTCAGATAACCGGGAGGCAGGCTGGTTGCCACTGGTATGCTGTGTTCTTGAGACACTAGCTGGTCATCTTTCAATAAAGGGAGCCAAGCATATCCCACTGCATCCAAAAGGAGGTCTAATTAGCATTAGAACATTTTGCTTTATTGAAATAAAGAGAAGCAATGATGGTCACACACAAAAAATTAATCTTGTCATAAATGCTTGACCTAAAATGGTACTACGTAATACAGGAACAATACAAATCATGGCTTCGATTGAAGTATAGCTACCTGATGTTTCCAGGGCCTCTTTCTTTTTGGCATTAGCTTTCGCATTTATGTCGCAGGTGACGTGATAAAATGAAAAGAGAATGTGGTGCTTCTTATGGAGTTGAGTAGGAAGCTCAAGCTTCACCTGAAATGTAAAATGTTGCAACCATCTTTAGTTGAGACAGGCTCAAACAAGAGCAAGAGAGGGATGCTGGATGGCTTGAGCCTGATCTTAACTTATCATCGTTTCAATACAGACAGCTGCCCCTCTTGTCCCTACGCTGTGGAACTTGTGCATGAAATGGGGATGAGAGTACAAAACTCTACCCAGTTACACAAGTCTATTACTTTTTAAAAGATGTCTTTTGAAAAACAGCACTGTTCAGGCATGTGTTTTTTCAACAAACCTGTCTTTATTGTTTTAATTGAAGTTATTGTAGCATTATGTTTTTATGTTGCACACCATATACAGTGCGTTTTATAAATATTAAATAAACAAATAACAAACAAAACAATTGACCGTGTGTCTTATAATTTTCAAAAACTGTGTGTGTGTATAGAATCACCTCACAGCCCCAGCCCTTTCCTTAAAAACAGTTCCTAAAGGCCTGTCTTCTCTTGCCAATGGAAGGACAACAAGGAGGGAGCCAGTCTAACTTCTCTAGGGAGGAAGTTCTAAAATTTGGGAGCAGCTACCAAGAAGGCCCTCTCCCATGTCCCCACCAAGCTTGCCTGTCAGGGTGGCGGGACTGAGAGCTTTAACTGTTAAATGTATCCTAAGTAGTAGTAATACATATGAAGTCACAATAAAGTAAGCTTACCTCATCGT